TCTCTCTCTCTCTCTCTCTCTCTCTCTCTCTCTCTCTCTCTCTCTCTCTCCCCTCCCCCCTCTCTCTCTCTCCTTTTCTTTCTCTTTCCTCCTCATGATTTCTACACGATGGCATTTCTTACCGCTGCAACGCGATATATTATATACTTCTTTATAATCACAAATTTCGCCTTGGCAAAAATCATCTGCGCGCGTAAATAAAAAAGGTAATCAGATGGGCAGCAAGGGAACTAGAAGAGAATCTTTCATCATGTGGCGCCATGGGAATCCCTTTTCATGAATCGATTAAAAATTCTGTCCTTCATCTTTTTTTCTCTCGTTATTTTATTTTGTGATAATTTTACTTTTACGAGAAAAAAACATTCAATTCCGCGGCAGAAACTTATTATTCCGTTATAATTTAAATCGTGATTCCGTCCTTTTACATCACCTTCGTTCTAGAAGCCGGTGGCTTCCAGATTTGCTCACTGGCCTATGGTTAGAGGTGACAATGATAGTAAGCTAAAAGAAAAAGGAAGTTAGAGGGAGGGAGAAAGAGAGAGAATTCTAGGAAATGGTATTATTCCGCGTAGGCCAGATATAGAAGAGTCGATTTTACGTTAATCAATTCTTAGAATGATCTTAGAAAAATATGCAAATCGGATATAAATCCAATATTAAAATATGCAATTAAAATCGGATATAAATCCTCGTTGAATGCTTTTTCTGAATGTTTCTCGTTTATAACGTTTTTTCTATCTTCCATTAAAATATATTCTAAGATTTTCATATTTCTGTGGTATATTCACAGTCCATTCTTATGTTAAGATTCTGTTAAGTAATATCTTAATTAAGATGCTAATACAGCTCTATGACTGATATTCATAATCGCTTCTTATTTTAAGATCGTCTTAAATAATGTTTTACAACTAATATAGCCATACATACTAATATAGCCTTCTAATTGGTTCATGATATTTTAAAATTGTGTACTTATCAAAAGGATTTTAAGAATGGTATTTATATAGAGTCGATTCTTCTTTCAAGATTGTTTTAAGTAATGTCTTAAGATGCCAATGCAGCCCTCTGATCGAGTTCACCGCAAGGTTGAACTTAAGACGCGATCTTGAATATAAGAATAGATTATAAATATCGGTCTAAGATTCGACTATGAATATTGTCCTGTGATTGGCTAATGATTCTTAAGATTGTTTGAAATGATCTTGAGAATTGATTATGAATATTAGCATAAAATAAAGTATATAATCTTAAGGTATATAATCTGTGTAAAAAATATATTTATATAGTCACTTCTGGTATTACATTATTATTGTTATCAATTTCGATCTCCAGCAAAATTATATCCCGCAGAACATAAACTAATGATAACAATATATCAATATTATAATTTTCCTCAATTCAACATCATAAATATAATATAATATGTTGTACACAACAGTTTATTAAGAGTATAAAATTATAACATTTATGTGATCAATTTGTATCTTTACAAAAAGAGATACAAAAGATACAAAAAATTCGATTTTTTAAATTCTATATGTACCTATAAACTATAAACGACGTGTCTCCCTCAGATTTTTAATTCTTATAAGAATTTAAAATTATAATCTTAAATTTTCTAACGCCATCTCTCTCTCTCT